TTTTTTTTGCTGGTGCGCAGCCACAAGGTAAAAGTAGCAGGAGAGATCATTCTTACCAGCATCACTTTGACCGAGTCTGACATCAGAGCCACGTAAGATTTCAGCACGTCGTAATGAAAGGCTGGGGTGAGCAGCTTCCGATGCTGGAAACATTTGGTTCCATCCAAGATCAACAGCCCCTGCCCTGCAGACACAGTCAGCAAAGGTGCAATCAGGTCCTCCGGACTCTGATCACGGCTCTGACAGCCTCAGTACTGCTTCTGGCCAAGTGCAGGCTAATGTGCAGGGTCTGGGGGAAGAAGAGTTGGTGGTGGAGCCTTTTCTACAGCCTCTCTGAGGCCATTCACAGCAGTGCTCTTCGGATGGAGGAGAAGGATGCCCACGTGTCCTTCACTGCAATGGACTCCACACGCTTAATCTACCCTGAAACCAAAGCCTTGACGGCAGAGACAAAGGACTTGCTCTCTCAGATGGGTTTTTCTGCCCTAAATGAAATACTTGGGTGCCCTTTGCAGCCTATGCTGACAGTTGTTAGCAGAACCCTGGAGGGCTACCTCAAAGCTGTGTGCAAGCCACGAACTTCCCTGGCCTTGGTGTGTCTCACCCCGGCTATCCACGGTAGCATTCAGTCCCTGAGCAAACTGAAGGTCCTTTTGTGAAGGCCAAGGTGTGTGATCCAAGGCAAAGCCACCTGATGTGCTCGATGACTAGGTGGGCACCACTGGTACTAATGCTCACACTCAAACAAACCCTCTCATTTGCAAGCTCTGGTTTTAGAATGGAAGAGAGCAAAATAAAGGAAGATAAGAGAGAAGCCACTGAAATGTGCAATGCAGATGAAAGGGGTAATGGAAGGGAATGACTTACCAATCCAGGGAACTAAGAATTTGTAGGGTATATTTGGCTTAGGATCTGTAAAACAAAATAGATGCCAGAACAATATGAATGGCTGCTCAATTCAACATAACATAAAAGAAAATTCAGGATAAATTTATATTAGATTTTTGTCCTCTAAATCAGAATGTAGAATTAGTCTCATTTCAATATGTAAAATACTCTAACACTAGAGGTAGAGTTTAAAAGTGGTCTACAAATATGACCTTAGTGGACTTGAGAAAACCAGAGAAAAGCATAATGAAAATTGTGTGTGGAGCAGAAATGGCCATGGCAAGTCTCAAAGTTGAGAGCAATGGATGTGAGTTACTGGAGACGCCTATATGTGTACCACTCACAGGGATCATGCCTTACAGAAAACAGCAGAGGAAACTTGAGATGTCTTTTGAAAGCCATTGCCATGCCAGCTCACCCGCTTTACTGGGTTTACTGGGAAACACAGATACTGTGGTGGTAGATGCCATAGAAGACAGTAAGACCAATGAAAATGGAGATGGTGGACTAGGAGGAACATGCATGTGGTCACCGTTTTGCATAAGAATACAAACTACTCCATGAAACTTGGGGTGGGTTGGGAGTTTGCAAAGGGGAGCAAAGGAGGAATTGCAATAGCTGTGAAGGAAGCTGGCGGAGGGATGACTCCAGGCAAGGTTCCCATGATTTTCTCAGTAGGGACGTGTCAAGGACATGACTTCCCAAAACCAGACGTAGACACTTACCCGTTCGGCCAAGTATGCTTTTGGCATACTCAGGATGGTGGATTATTAGAGAAGGCAGGACTGGTCCAAACCATCTGGGAAAGGCATAGGGGTATTCTTCTCCCCATGACACCATCTGATTTAATATTTTATCGGTAGTTATCTGCAATGACAATTAAGCAGGGACTGAACTCAGGCAGAAAGAGAGGGACGTGCCAGGGAGAGCAGAGGTTAAACTTGCGCTTCCGTTGAAAGCACGTACAAGACATCCTCTGCTGGGAAAGAAGAAGAAAGTGGGCAGACTTGCCATGGGGGACTTTCCATCCTGCAGCTGGAGGCGATGCTGGGCAGGGCAAAGGGACCGTGCACAGGGCGCAAAGGTGCCTGAGCTGCTGCATCCCTGCAGCACAAGGCAGCTCCATGGAAAGTCCCTAGCTGGTGCATGGCTGCAGTCGAGCCGCGTTAGGACAGCCTGGGCTTGGAGCAGCTTGGTGTTGCACTCAGGAGCTACAGCTGGTATGGGCAATGCCAGGGTGCCTGATGAACAGGCCAGGGGGACCAAGGCTGTTACACCCCTGGTCTCTAAATTCAGCAGTGTGAACTGGTCATACAACGTGAAAGCAAAAATATCTTCGCTACAGAAGGATGAAAATGGCCGCAATAAAATGCACTGCTTTTGTGGCCATGTGGCTGTAGGGGAAGAGACTCTTGGTAGAAGATTTAATGCAGAAGAAAGACATCTTATGTTTGCTCATACTTAAATAACTTCAATGAAAGTCACAGAAATTGTCCAAATGCATATTTAAGCACACAACTGCAAAAAATGTGGCTCTGGTTTTTACCAAAATGATGCAGGTTTCATATCTAGGCAAAAGTCTTGGCACTCCCCGTGCAGAGGTCCTCTCCTGTAGGAAGGGACACGAGCAGGGGACATGCACACCCCACCCACAGCTTCCTCTCATCCTGACTGCTCTGCTCCACAGTTGTTGGGACAACCCCACCCTGACTGAGCCCAGCTCCCTCCTTACCAGGTGATTGTGGCCATAGAGCCAGTGTTTTGGAGGATCAGGGAATGCCTACAGAGCTTTGATGAGTTTCTTCCTCTCGTGGTAGAACTGGGCCACCTTCGGCAGCACGAACATGACACCAAGCACCACAGACAGCTGCAAAATCACCGTAGAAGGCTGGCTATGTTGTCCAGCAGAGACACCGTGTTGGCCCTGCATCCAGGTTGCCTGGCACTGCCTTCTCCTGCCTGCTCCTCCTAGGCCTGCAGCTGACTGGGAGCTAGGTGCAGGTAAAAACCCTCTCCCTTCTGCTCTGCTGGAGCTGAGCCTGGTGAAGCACGGTCAGCAGCAATTTATAGCAGCCAGAACATCACGGTCAGCAATGCGTCAGCTTGGCTGGCAGCTTGCCTGCTGCTCCTGCTCACCCTTCGACCTGTGTCCAGCAACCTGCGGCTGGAAGTGGCTTGTTAACAAACAACCTGAATGTATTTGTGACTTTCTCTGAAGTCCTGCAGCAAGAGAAAGTGCTCGAAGTCATCCATGCCCAGGTGGATGAAGCCGTAGGAGGGAGGAGGTAAGAGGTAGCCAGGCTCAGGCTCTAGTTGAGCTCTGTGCTGTCCTCGGCCAAATTCAGGTCTGGAAGCTGCTCATCTGCTTGCGTGAACTGAGGAACAAAGAGGCCACCTCTGCCAAACACATGGGCCGGACGGATCCATCTGCCTCCAGCTGTAAAAACAGTGCTCTGAGGGACTGCAACATCACACAGCACCGTGAGGCACTACACGTGTCCGTATAACCGAGAGAACGGACATGACCCGATCAGCACACAAGGGACTGTTGTCCTGTTCTTCAAGAGGTCCTGCCATAGACAAGTCGGGAGACAAAACTGCTGCCCAGAAGAATTACCATGGTCAATAGATAAGACAAGGAGAGGAAGAGCAACAGAGCAGTAAAATGAGCTGCAGCAAGATTGAGTGCATGCCTAACCCGTTAGGGAGACGTCATGGTAAGGTCATGTTTCCTCTGCAATTCTGGTGAGTCCTCCTTCCCCTGTCTACACGACATCAAACCATCTTCCAAAGAAGGCTCTGCATCACCACATTTACCTCTCCAGCACAGTGCTTAGTTGGGCCCCAGGTAGGACACCTTCTAGCAATCCCTGAGCAGATCCTGCTGGTTACCTGGGCTCACATCCCATAGGAACAGAAGCCTGGAATGGCTTGGAAGGAATTGCATGTTTGGTGGAGGACTTGGGCTGTAGGGGGACCTCCAGGCACATTGCAAAGAGGAGGATCTTCAGATGGGCTGAAATAATTTCCCACTTGGGTGTTGGGGTATTAAGAGGATCAAATGAGTCATTAGCTGCTGAACCTGGCAGTCTGACCTGCTACTACGTAGGGGCTGCTGAGTTTTGTGGGTGTTTCTCTTCAATTTAACACATCTCTGAGAGGAGAGTCTTCTGATGTTTGGACACTTTCCTTTAGTTTTTAGTCTATATTATGCCACGGCCAACTGAAACCCATGTTTTCTGCTAGTAGAGTGATTTTACTGAAAAAACTACTATTTTATCTGGTATTCATTGTCCAGATGTATTCTTTCTATAATGACAGAGATGTGGAGATCACTGGCTGAAGTGAATCTGCACAGGCCCAATAAAAATATTTAAACTTTTTAGACAGAAAGAATATATGAAAAAATCTTACAAGACCCACTGTCAGGGGATTACTTGACTCCACAAAAATGTCTGAAAGTTAGTGAAATGACTAACTTTTCCCTCAGCTGGCTTGTGGCTTATTTGTTAATTGATGATCGCAAAGTCGAAGCTGTAGGTACAGATGGTACCGTTTGTATTTCAGTCTCAGGGAGATTTAAAATGTCTGGCTGTTACTAACTCAGGCGAGGGTTTGTAGGTACGTTGCTCACCCACTGTGGTAAGTTGCTCATTGCGAACAGGCTGAGGGCACGGTGTGTGCCCGTTTGGGTGTAGCACGGGAAGGTGCCCAGCTGCGGACTCATCCTGCGCTCTTTGAGAGAAAAATCAACAGACTGCAGAAATGCTTAGGTGTGGTGCACGGCACTCCTCCAAGAATGTTCTTGAAGTATTTTTCTCTTTATGGGCCGGTGCACTAGCACACAGAGCAGGGAGACTCAGCCTGACCCTCTTTCCGACACAGGCACTGCAATATCACCTGTGGGTCCTTGCAAGGGAGAGGATTTGTCCTCTCTGCCATGCAGCTAGAGGATGCCGAGTGCTGTACAAAGACTCAACCTTGCAGCTGAACGGTTCACAGAGGGACCTGGAGGGTTCAGGTGGCTCCACCTTTGCATCCCTGAGAGGGATGTTTGACACTGCACCCCACTGCTGCTGTCTCCTCTTGGAAGTTCATCTGTGGATTTTCTGGTTGAACATTGATACCCCTGCTAAGGTTAGCTAGTGTGGTATGTGGTGTCTGTCATGTACATCACCTAGTTCTCAGGTGGTGATAAGAAATTTTGCAAACGCTCGGGCACAATGTGTTGGAAATGGCAGCTGCTAACAATGACCTCCAGCTCCATCAGTGACAATGTTTCTGGAGCTCCTCACTCACTTCTGGGTTTGCATCCTGAGGTTGGTGACCTGGACATTTCCACATAAGATGAGATGAGAATGCTGACATTGAGACACCCGCCATTGCGGGTACCCATGGCACAAAAGGCACTGGGCATGTCAGCTAGCTAACAGCCAGCTCCTACCATGCATATCCAGATACCTGCTGAAGTTTGGGCTGGGGAGAGGTTCTGTTCATTGCTTCTGCATGCTGGTAGTAGAAGTCTGCTCTAGAAACACACTTTGCTCTTGAAAGGCATCAACTTTATGACTACTTTTAGTCTGTTCCTGGGCTACAAATACCCTTTTTCTAGCCTGCCAGTGTTGTCTATAACAACAAGTTTCTTCGGCATTTCTCTAGAAATAATGATTGCATAAGTTCCTCAGCTAGGATAAGGTGACCCAGTCAACACTACAGCTGTCTGCATGGCACTGGGCTTTTGTTAGCATGGCAGGAAGAAGTATTGCAAAAAGCTGATGACAACAGCTGAAAATCTCTTATCTCTCCTCAGACTCAGGTACTTTGGCTGCATGAGCACATTTCTTCAGCTCCTCAGCATGACTGTCCCCTGAACTGAACCCCTGTAACCTATTTAAGATGGTGCCTCTTGTTCTTCAGACTGAGAAGAAGAGGAAGGAAGAGTTACATGCTCTGATTGTCATCCTGCTTTCTCCCCATCACCATCGCTGACACGCTGCATCCTTTGGGCCAGAACTTGGTAAGTCATTACAGCCACATCCATCAACAATTTTAAAATTCAAAGAACATACTGATTCTTCTTGTCTTGCCTGACAGGCACTGAATAGCGTTAGCTTTTCACACACTTGGCCATCTTCATGAGACTAAGTGTGTGCCAAGTCAGCTGGATCTGTGTGAAAGTTCAGAGGAGAGGTAAAGGTTGCTCTTCAGGGGGCAGAAGGTTGCAGTCTGTCACGTTAGGCATTTCTTGGGAAAGGCTTTGGCTGCAGCCAGGGCAAGAGGGACACAATCTGCTGTGACAACTTCATGCTCCTGAGCAGGAGCACCTGACTCAAGGGATTTCACAGCCATGGAAGGTGTAGGAGACATATCTAGTACCTCTAGCTCTTCTTGTGATCTGCCCCCTCTCCTGCCATACCGTGATTAATAGGCTTCCCATGAGGAGAGGAGGCAGTGCAGGCTGGTTGGCCAGCTGGCTGGTTGGCCAGGTGGCTGGGAAGCATGTGGGTTGCAGTTGTTTGGGAGGCTCCTGCTGAGCCTTATTGCCTACCTGAGGAGATGGAGAAGGATGAACATGCAGCACAAGGAGTCACTTTTGGGCTGCCTGAGACAGATCTATGGCTTTCCAAGCTGCCTTGAAAATGTGGGGCTGACCTGAACAGATTGAGCAGGCAAAGGGTGTGACGACAGTGATGTTACCCTGTGCTTTATCTTGTTATCAGATCAGGTCACAGAGAGGGTTTGGACTGGTCTGCCAGGATACTTGGGATTAACCTTGAAGTTATGTTCCCGTGGTGGATGCTACCAGAGACCCCATGCCCCATCTGCAATGCATCATGGCCTCTGGTCCAAAGCTGTCCCTCCCCCAGGCTTTTTTTCCTCTCAACCATCTCTAAAATGGCCTTTAGCTTCTTTCAGAGACCTCCTCTCTAGGAAACAGCCCATGAGCAACTAGCTTCTTGTCTGGCCTTGTCCTTGACTATGGATGGCAGGGAGGAGAAGGGGAGGTCCATGGAACTGAGGACATTGGAAGATGGGATTGCTATTGTGGATCCCTTGAGTGAAGACGTGCAACATGCTCCAGCAATGTCGTGTAGTTGGGTGCCTTACAAGGTTCACATAAGGAACACAGGGAGAGATGGAGGTTGAGGCTTTGGTTAGCACCTGTGGAGCTGTTTTGGGGTGTCCTGTGGCACCTACCCAATTAGAGACCATCTGATCTGGATCTAGCCAGCACCTGTCACCAATCACCTACAAAATAACTCAGAAATTCCCCAAGACCAGAGGTGGAGGGGCCAGGCTAGTGAAATCACTGGCACGGCATTCGGTGAAACTTTTATAACAACACAGAAACTCTCATTGGTGACAAAGTCCCTGGACAATGGGTTTGACCATGGGTTACTGAGCAGGGTGGATGTTTACCCATTTAGCTCCCTTATAGTTATTTAATAACCAGTAACAACTGTTGAGCATGGAGGCAAGGGGATATGGGTTGTCTTGAAGGTCAAGAAAGATGTCAAGCATTGAGCTGATAGGGAGAGGACATAGGGGACAGAGTGGCTAAACCCACATTTATGGGGATTTGGAACAAGACTCTGAGCTTGGGTGACAGCAAAACTGGGTGCTTAATCCAGCCTCCAGCCTCTGCATTTTCTGTTTCACTAGTGGGGAGAGAAACGTCTTTCTTATATTTCAGAGATTTCATGGCAAGAGGGACTATGAAAGTTTGGTCTGATACTCTTTAGCACAGCCTGGGGATGATAACTCAGGGGTTTTTGCAGGGGAAGAAACTGCGGGAGTTCAAAAGAGAAAGTGAAGTGGCTACAGAGCCATGAGTGGAGAGAAGTGAAAGGGGACAGCACTAGTTTTGTCATCGTGAGGGATTGGGACAAAGTCAGAAACAGTCTGTTTAGCACGAGGAGAACCTATAGCCCTGTTGCTCCCTGGCATCCCAACTGAAATAAGGAGCCTCCAAAAGAAGGTCTCGGCATGAAGAAGCATATGCAAGAGTCTGCTGATGGCCAGAATGGTCTGGAGAAGTTTGCAGGGTGAACAGAGTATTGGCTTGACCTTCGGGACATCTAAGGCTGGCAAAACTACAGTTGGGTGTCAAAGGACACTTAGAAGGTCATGAAGTATTTGCAGAGCCCCTGCACGGTTGGGTCGATGCTGTGGATGTCCACATGATGGCAGTGTATGCCGCGACAGGTCGTGCCATAAATGTTAACAGTTGCACCGAAGAATTCCCATCCTGTACAACCGTGGACACCTCCGGCGGTGGAAGTTGCTTTCAGGGACTTGGAAATTTCTCCACTTAATTTAGACACCTAAACAGAAGGAGGAGAGGATCTTCCTCGCTGACTTCACTCATTCTGTTGGCATTCGTTGCAGGAGAAGCGGTTTACTGAGCAGGTGAAATGTAGGTGGCAAATGGGTACTTTGCCCCAGAGCGTGACCTTGCAGCAGCTGCTTTCCTCAGCGCGCCTGTGTTTACTCAGATAGGAAGAAGAGTCCAGGCCCATCTGTCCCTGTGTGTTCCTGCAGTACTTAGTGCTGACAGATGAAATGTAGCTGTGATGCCAAAAAAAATAATAACATTTCAGGCTTCCAAAGGCATGATATATGGGGAAATCACAGCAAGCGCCCAGCAAGTGTTGCAGAGTAATGCGAGCTGCCTGGATCCCATCTGACCACACATGTCTCGAGGATGAATTTATATCTGGAAGCATTTAATACAGCTGTCTTACAAATATGTTGCAATACTTATTTAATTTAGAGGCTGCTTCCAGTATAAAATCCCAGCGGGCTTTAGACGGAAATTGCTGGTACCATGTGCTAATGGGTTTGCCTGGAGAGCGGCGTGGGTCCTGTGCAGGGACCGCGTCCCCCAGAGGTGCGAGCAAGCTGCTCTCGCCGCTGGTTCTGCTGCTCCCGTCGTGCTTGGCAGCGCGCGAGGAAGTACCACCACCAGCCCGCGGTGGACGGGTACCCTTCACGTGTGGCTGCACAGCTATTACGACAATCTCTGTGGGGAAAGGAAGCGTTGTGTGAGTAGATTGCGTCTTCGCTCTGCCGTCACTGAAAGACCAAGCTGCAGCAACGAGAAAAATCCAAGCTCTCTTTAACCGAAACAAAGACTTATCCTGTTGCACCCCGCATAGCCCTGCTCACAATTTCTTATTAAATTAGTTATCTGAAGGTCTGATTCAGGCAGCCCAAGGTCAGTTCATCATCTTTGCAATTACCCTTTCTGCAGAAAGTAGGGAAGGATTAAAGAACCTCCCTGACTGTCTTTATTGCTCTTGGTTATACACCCCATGTGACTAGGTCTTCTGATTACTACCATGTCTCTAATATCTAGGAGGGGAAAGGTGGTCTCAGAAATTACATTCTGGAAAGATTGGCTTGCTCTGGCACTGGGACACAGTTGCCTCAGCAGCCCTTGTTGCAGCCTCAGCCCACCTCTCCAGTTCAAAAGCAGAGCAGCCATGGAAGATGTGTTATGCAGGATGTGGGGGTGATGCAGGATGCGGGATGCAGGATATGAGATATGGGATGCAAGATGCGGGACGTGGGATGATGCAGGATGTGAGATGCAGGATGCAGGATACGGGATGCGGGATGTGGGACGCAGGCTGGCTGGCCTGGCGCGCCGTGCTGGCCCACGTGGCTCGTGGCGACTGGGAGCTGGGCTGCCATGCGTGGCGTTATTTAGGAGAGTGTGACTCT